TGTGGGGGGTGTCAAAACACTAAATTCTAATACCAAAACATTTTATGTTATTTAAAAACTATTAACTATTAAAACACTACGGTTATAAATTAATGTATTTTTTACATGTTTATAATTTAAAAATCGTATTTGTAATATCAAGTAGATGATATTCTAGTTTTTTGTTATTGTTCTTTTCAGAGTCCCAACATTATCATTTGAAAAAAGCAAAGGATTATCAGAACTCCAACTGACTCAATTAAAAAGTGAACTTGACCATTTAGCTGGTCAACTAGTTGGAGAAGTGATGATATTTAATTTGGCTCAACATGCACAGGTTTGTAATGCTTGTTTGTTTCCTAGTTTTTAAAGATGTCTTTGACTTCAGACTAATTGTAGTTATTTTTATTGTATTATTGTTATAACTGTTATTTATGCTACAACGTAATATTTGCACATTTTTCATTTAAATGGAGCTGAAATTGACAATGTGTCGTATGTAATAAGATCAGAGTCTCAGATTTTAATTAATTATACCTTATCGACAACCCCTGTGTTGCAAGTTATCCCCATCATTTGGGGGTCATATTTGTGACTTCTATTTAGCCTACAAACTGCTAAAATTATTAAGGTATAAAATGCTTAATGTAAAGGTTTAAACTAGGGGTGTTAAAAAATTCTACAGACTTCCTCATATCAGTTTTTTTCCTTCGGCTTCGGCTAGCTAAGCACAATTAAAAAGTACTACATACTCTTGCAAGCTGCCATCTATTGCCGCCCAAAATTATTTTAAAAAAGTCTTAATTTTTGGTTTTCCTAATTGCTGAGTGGAAATATTATTTTAAGAATATTAAAGAATAAGAAAATTGCTATTCAGGACGAGGTTTTTGCTAGAGTCCCAACTACATTTGTGTAATTTTCGAAAATTAACTTTACATCATGTTAAAGAGTGCGATTGCAAAAGGGCAATCTATTCGGGAAAAAATTGGTGCCTCTTTGAGAAAATGGCATTTAAGCGTTTCTGAAAATGCGATTTTCGAGCTAGTTTTCACAGAAACTGTTGAAATTTCGAGAAACTTTATCTGACATTATTTAAAGCACTTGTACTCATAAATATAATAATGTGAACAAATTTTCTCTAAAATAAATATTAACGACGTGAATGACAAGTCAAAACATTTACATTTTTGTAATTTTGGAAAACAAAAAATGAGCAATGTAGCGTTTATGTCATCATTTAGAGTACATTTACTACTAATCCTACCAAAAGTTTAAAAAAAAATTGGAGTAGTTTTTGAGAATCTTGGTTTTGTAATTTTTTAAAATTACACGTATTGCGCGAAAACTACAAAAAATTCAAAAAAATGTACATGTCAATGAAAGAAATCACTATGGAGAACAAATTTTATTTGAAGGAAAATCTCTGATCTTCAGTTTTGTAGTTGTAAGAAGACGCCCGAAAATTTTCAAGATTTTTAAATTTTCGAAAATTGAGTTAACTCTGAGAATCGGACCTACATGTGTCCTTTATAAACGTATGTCCCCTCTAAGATATGTAGAATCAATACACATAAAATCTATTTAAAAATAAAACATTTGTTCAGTTGATCTACTCCACTCTCACGAGACATCAACAAAATGAGGCCTTCGTGGTTTTTTCCCTTCTGTATTCGAAGATTGTCGTCTTTATTCTCGCGTCTGGTAATCGCGCTCAATTACGAGTTGGTCTTAGTGGATGTTTTGAAAACAAGACACGTGCACCTTATTTCCTAGTGCGCATCAGTCATTGATAGGAATTATTTTAGGCCTTTACATAGTCGCAAGTATAAAGTATCCAACTGTTGGGAAGGCAGATTCTGAGTCAGTGTCATGCGGAACTGTACCCATAGTGCGCGTGAAGTTTATGTCTGGTTTGGTGTGCCTAGAATACATTAATACACTACAGTTAAGTCTTTTTTTATTAAGTGAAATTCGCCACATGAACTGTAGAATTAAACCGGCCCGAGAAAATGCAAATCGGCACTTCACATCGAAAGTGCGCGAATCAACCCTTCTGTTACGTTTGTCTACGTAGGTGATTGGGATTTCTGGTGGAAAGTTGTAGACGACCACCCGGACCCTGAGTTTTACGGCAAAACACATGCCGCTAGCTTCAAGGCGGAGGCAGTGAGTAGGTGATGCTAAGCTCCTCGATGCCCGGCCTTGCCCGGTAACCCACCAGTTGGGCCCCTGGCGTGTTGACCTTTGGCCAGAATTGGTCGAAGGACGTTCCTTGGAATGCTTCGGATCCCACCTATAGACGTCCGACAGGGACCAGATATCCTCGTCAGGTTGCCTAGGTTCTGGCGGCACTCAAGTCACTAGCCCTAAGGTGGAGGCAGTAAGGAGACGGGAAGGGGGTCCCGTGTTGCCGGGACCTTAGTTCGGGTGGGCCCCTGATTGGCTCTTGGCTTCGTCGTGGAAGTGGCCCGAACCTCTTGGCAAAGAGGCGGGACTTGTTTCCGGCGCATTGTCTGGACTCCGGAGCTAGCCTGGTTAGCTAGGACCCCTGAGCTGGCAGGTCGCCCCCAACCCAGTATTGTATGGGAAGGTTACCATGAGGGCATACTGCTTTCCGGCGGGATCTGAATATCAGCCTGTCGATGTACTTGTGCGCTGGCGGCGGGAGCTGATTAAGTCGAAAAACAACAGGTGCTCACCACGGAGATTTATGCCCCCTGGTAGAACAAGATAACTGTATAGGACGGTATCCCAAGCATGGTCCTTTCATACATGTTACGATTGTGGAAGATTTACACCAAAACTTCAAACTAAAAGATATGAAATTATAAAACTTGCGTATTCGTAGTAATTTGGCTGTCTGTTTTATGATAAGGACAAACCATGGGCTGCTCACCCATGTAGTGTCACCTGTGCAACAATCCTTAGGTTGTGGTTGTAAGGAGAACTCAAAATCATTCGCTCTATCGATGTGGAGAATACGAACAAACCATTTCAATGCTTGCATATTATTGCACGAATATTCGTATTACGTTTTTAACTTGTTCCTACCTGATATGAAGCAACCTCATAAACTTTAGTAGTACTAATATAACCGGCGTGACAACGTGGAAATTAGTATACGATTTTATTTCAAATACTAAATACAAGGGTTAGATAAAAACTAATAAGATTTTTTCTCTGAAACAACTTAATTGTCAAGGAATGTTTATTTACTCATCTTCAATATAATTGCCTCCGTAGAGCAATATTCTCCTTACTTTTAATCCAACCTATGTACGTTGATAACTTTGGAATCAGCGTGATAGAAACTTTTTATAATGATTTTCAAAATCAGCGTGATTGTTTCCTTCGAGATCAGCTGCTTTTATCCTAGAGGTATAAAAACAAATTTTGTTCTCTATTCTTATAGTCAACTATATTGTTTTCCCCTTTTTACTTTCCCGTATACGTAGGTATATACGGAGTAATATACGTAGTATAGGGAAAGTTATATAATACTGTGGAAAATCAATTTCGATATTTCAACGGAAAAACACGTTTTGGGGTCCACTGATACCGAAAGTGTTTTTTCAAAACGTTCGTCTGTCCGTCCGGTGTCTGAGAACACTACTAGCGCCTAAACCATGTTTAGGATGTTTTGTTTAAAATTGAAAAGAACCCTGTTCATCTGGCCGAATTGGAATTTTGAGATCATGAAAAACATTCTTTGAATTTTGAAGGTACTTCACAGGAAGCCTTGAGGACAGTTTCAAAATTTTCTCAAAAACGACTCCCAAATGTTTTCTTTAAACTGTTGGTAGGGATAAGTGCTAAACGACATATTGCTCTATTCTTTTGTTCTTTCAAAAATTACAAAAAAATATTTTTTTACTTGTCTCTCGTGTCGTTAATATTTATATTAGTGACAATTCACATTATTGTATTTATAAGTACATGTGCTTTAAATAATGTCAAAATTTCTCGAACACTCAACCGTTTTCTGTGAAAACTAGCTCAAAATTCCGTATTTTCAGAAACGCTCAAACGCCATTTTCTCAAAAATGGCTCCAAATTATTTCTTCAGACTTTTCGATCGGATAGTGCTAATTACACTATTTTGATATGACGTGAAGTTCATTTTGATGTATACTTTTGTTTACTTAAAAATTACACAAATGCAATTTCTTTGAAAGATATCTCACGCCGTTATTATGCACATATCCTGCGATTTGTAAACATGTCTATGTGAATTAATGTGCTTTAAAATACCTATAATGAAGTTTTTCGAAAAATCAAAAATTTTCTGAGAAAAAGCTTCAAATTTCGAACTTACAGTAGCGCTTAAGCGCCATTTTGTTAATAACTGCTCTAATTGTTTCAAATTAAATTGCTATTTAGGACAAGGTTTTACTATTCTTTAATATTCGTAAAATAATATTTCAGTTCTATTAGGAAACCGAAAAAATTAGAAAATGTCAAAAAATGTACTGTAGGCGGCGATGGACGGTAGCTCTCAAGAATTTGTGGCAAGAGCGTATAGCTTGCCAATATCAAAGGAAACAGAAAACTAATATGGGAAAGTCTGTGCCATTCTGTCGAACCACAATTTCAATACTAACATGACTTTTTCCCAAGACAAAGCAACTGTAACTTCAATTCAATAATATTTTTGTAATATTGTACTACTATAATATCCACTTCACGAAACCAGAGGAAAGAAATTCCACCCTTGATTGTCGGCATTCATAAAGGATTTAACAGACTGCTGTCCTTATTGTCCAGACGAATTGAGACATTTGTTGTAGTAAGATAGCATTCGAGTAATCATATTCCATGAAACGATATTTTTTCTTCTAAAATGCTGTTACGAAAAGTATTGAACGATACACGTCAGATAACACACAAACTGGGCTGATTATAAACCTCGGCTACCGCATCAATTTACGAACATCAACCGTGTCTGTTAGTTGCTATTTATCAGACTTATGACGTTTATTTCTATTGTAACAACTTCATTTGCTTAAAACACGGGTCCATTGTCGGGTTTTACGTGCAACTACACTGTCTTGTGATGTCGCTCTGAACAGCTAAAGAGGTGACGCCGTAGGGTACACCAGGTACCGCGTGGCTCTCTTTAACACGGACAAAGCACAGATGTCCGGAAATTGTCTAATACCGTAACGGACGCGCGTGCCACGTCGGTACGATGTATGTGGAGGCAGGTATTCATACTACAGTAAAAATGGTCTTAGCCGGTGAGGGGACGTGTAAGCGGCCTGACGTAAAATCTATTCACACATAAATTAAAACATTCTGATAACTTAGTGTCAAAATAAAATAATTTTTTCTGGCAGA